ATAAATGTAGTAAAGGAAGCATAAAATGCTTTAAAATTTCCAAGGAAGACATAAGCTCTTGAAACAAGGGATGCCCTGAAGACCACACTACTTTAAGTGGTAGTGACAAGTCCTGTAGGAATAATGCAGGTTTCCAAACAGAGATGCAACAAATACATTAGGCTGTAAGCTTGCTTAAACGATTGTAGGAATCTTTAAGAGAATCCGATTATGTCTGATGGTGTCAGATCTCATTACTCTCCAAAGCTTCTCTCCTCCCTCCTCATCCAGGAGAGAAAAACTTGCTCTGGAATCTTGAAAAATTAGACGATTCACATCAACACTGAATAAGAGTCACACAGGCTATATAGGCATCTCTGAAGCTAATCATTACTTTCAATAGTTTAATTTCTTTTTCATTAAAAACAATTACTAAGGGGCGCCCAGGTGGCTCAGTTGGTTAAGCATCTGCCTTTGGCTCAGGTCATGATCTCAGGGTCCTGGGATGGAGCCCCCCAGCGGGCTCCCTGCTCAGTGGGGAGCCTACTTCTCCCTCTCTTCTGCCCCTCCCCCACTCGTGTGCGCACGCACGTTCTCGATCTCTCAAATGAAATCTTTAAAACAAAACAAAACAGGGGCACCTGGGTGGCTCAGTCAGTTAAGCATCTGCATTCAGCTGGGGTCATGATCCCAGGGTCCTGGGATCATTCCCTGCATCAGGTTCCCTGCTCAGTGGGAAGCCTGCTTTTCCCTCTCTGTGTGCGCTCTTTCTCTCTTTCTCAAATAGAATCTTTAAAAAAAAAAAAAAAAATCACTAAAAAAATACTGATCAATTTTTTAAAAATATTTTATTTATTTATTTGAGAGAGAGAGAATGAGAGATAGAGAGCACGAGAGGGAAGAGGGTCAGAGGGAGAAGCAGACTCCCTGCTGAGCAGGGAGCCCGATGTGGGACTCGATCCCGGGACTCCAGGATCATGACCTGAGCCGAAGGCAGTCGCCTAACCAACTGAGCCACCTAGGCGCCCAATACTGATCAATTTTTATGAGGATTATTTGAAACCCACTCAGAGTCTTTGAAAGCACTCTTGTAGTTCTACTTACAAAATACCCTTGACAGTTTCCTGGTCGTCTAATTCTATAATGCCTATAACATGTCACAGTTTGGGGGATTTTATCCTATTTTCGCCAGTTCTGCACGATTCTTTATCCACTCTTAGTAGTTTGTTCCAGTACTATTCTTCTGGATTGTCTCATTTCAAATTTTTCTGGGTGGTAGTCTAAGGGCTGACTTTCTGGTTTTCAACTATATATTTTTCTAACTTTAAAAAAATGATCATGTATTACTTGTCTAGTCAGGAAAAGTCCCAATAAACATTCTGAAAAGTTTAAAACTTGTACAAGTGGTAAAGTTCAAATAGGCTAAACTAATCTAAATGTGAGAATCCTGGTTAGTGGGAGTGACAACTGGCAGAGCTGATAATGTTCTCATTTCTTATCTGGGTGTTGGTTGCATCAGTACATTTACTTTATAAAAACTCATTCAACTATATATTTAGGAATTGTACTTTTTTCCTATATGCATATTTCAATAAAAAGTTTACTTAAAAGAGAAAACAACTGACATAAGGTTTGAATTAAAGAAAGAGCCCTTATAAAGCTTAGGGGGTTCATGAAGGTTACAATAAGAAGCACATAATGCAAGGGTCACCTTTTAGTAGGGAATTAGGCTCTTTGGCTGCCTGCTTCCTTTTATAAGAGCATCAAGCTTTCCTTGTTTTAGACTATTGGAAGTCTATATTGTGACTTGTGAGTCTGCACAGGAACAGATGTGACCTGAGCAGGCAATAAGGCCAGTTTGGGCTGCGAGTGTGGGGGGTGGGGGTGGGTAGGGTCTTCTGGCTGGTAAGTGGGCTTAACCAGCACTGCCATTTCATCTCCCCATTTTGTCCCATCCTCACTGACTTTCATAAAGTGATTTATAAACATGAAGAAAGCCAACTGCAATGGTAGAGAAGAAATCTATGAAAGTGTTGTTCTCAGTCAAAACACAGCTTTGGATTAAGAGTAAAATGTTGAATGCTACAATGCTTGGATCTATGAACTAGGGGGCTGCGTGCTCTATTATGGAAACAAGATTCATGAAAATGGTTCCAGAATATTCCAGACTAAATTTATTTGAATGGCTTATACATATATTTAATTTAAATTTATATTTAATCGTTAATATCTTAACTGGATACTTCATTTCCATTATACTTTGCAACATCTTAAGACAATAGATGGTATAGTGTTATTTGTAGATTTATTTATTTTTTAAAGATTTATTTATTTGTTAGAGAGAGCACGAGATGGGGGGGAGAGGGAGAAGGAGAAGCAGACTCCCCGCTGAGCAGGGAGCTCGATGCAGGGCTTGATTCCAGGACTCTGGGATCATGACTTGAGCTGAAGGCAGACACTTAACTGACTGAGCCACCCAGGCGCCCCTATTACTTGTAGATTTAGAGAATCTCAAAGATCTGTGGATTTTTTTCAGAATGTCAACAATCTGTCTTAACTGTTTAATTATCCTCAATACCACTGGGGGCGGGGGTGGAGAAGGTAGAGAATAAGTAACTCAGATCATAAAGCAATTGTGTTTGTGATCTCCTGTAGTAACAAAAAGGCATCATTCTCTTATGTATGCAAATATTTGTACTTTTTTCATTTATACTTGGGAGATATTCTAAAATAAGTATCAGTTATAGTATTCACTTATAGTGATTTATAGGCGCTTTGACAGAAAACATCAATACGGTGTATTAAGACTATGTTTCTACCCAAATGCAAATAGATGTATCTCACAGTACGTGATAGTCTTCATGTATATGCCCTAGGACTGCTCTATGAAATCTTCTGATGAGTTGTAAAGCAAAGTCTATGACACAAAGCAGGTATGAATTCCTTGACCATGTATGATACTTAGCTAGTTTAAAATTTTTTTTTTAAAGATTTTGATTTATTTGACAGAGACACAGCGACAGAGGGCACACAAGCAGGGGGAGTGGGAGAGGGAGAAGCAGGCCTCCCGCTGAGCGGGGAGCCCGATGCGGGGCTTGATCCCAGGACCCTGGGATCATGACCTGAGCCGAAAGCCGACGATTAACGACTGAGCCACCCAGGCACCCCTAGTTTTAACAGTTTTAAAAACGACCGGTTTTTCTGCATTTTTAGGTTTCTGGCAAACTAAACTGTACATTCAATTCTGGGCATGGCATGTTCTATGCTCTTTTGATATAGAATGTGCTAAAAATGGTAGCTGATGACTTTAATATCATTATAGATATACCTTCCTAGAATTATAAAAGTATATTTCCCACAAAGCCAGTCACATCATTGGCTATATTCATAGACCCTGATGAAGGAAAGGATCTACTGCATACACACATCTTAATTACGGTTACTATGTAAAATTAAGGATATTGAGATTATGAATTTGCCTTACTTTTTTTATTTTTATTTTTATTTTTTTTAGGGTGGGTGGGAAGGGCAGAGGGAGAGAATCTTAAAGCAGGCTCCATGCCCACTGCAGAGCCCAATGGGGGGCTCGATCTCACAACCCTGACATCATAACCTGAGCCAAAGTTAAGAGTTGGAGGCTTAACCTACTGAGCCCACCCAGGGACCCCACTCAGTAAATTCTGATCACTGTTTTAAGGTCTTTTATATTTTTTGTGCATAAGGACATAAGAGTCCTGTTTCTCATGTACCAATTTGAGGGGAAGGAGTTGTAATTTTAAGTGCAAAGCTTTTTTTTTGGTGGGGGGGGAGGTGTGTGTGGAGGGGTACAGCATAGAGAAAAGTACTCTAATAGGACAACTGTCAGGTTAATATCCAAAATTATCATCTTTATTTTTGTAAAGTTTTATTTTTAAGTAATCTGTACACCCAACATGGGGCTCAGACCCACAATCCCAAGATCAAAAGCCACAGGCTCCACTGAGCCAGCCAGGTGCTCCCCAAAATTACCATCTTTACAGTCAGGTGGCCTACACATAACTGGACTACTTGAATGCGATCATTTACAAGACAGTACCCTGCATTTAATTTTTTTTAAAGATTTTATTTGAGAGAGAGAGGACGCGTGTGAGCGGCGGGGAGGAGCAGAGGGAGACGGAGAGGGAGAGAGAATCCAAGCAGACACCATGTAGAGCGAGGAACCTCTTGGGGGCTCAATCTCACAACCCTGATATCATGACCTGAGCCAAAATCAAGAGTCAGATGCTTAACAACTGAGCCACCCAGGTGCCCCAGCATCTTGCATTTTAATGCCTTAATCTAGTATCTTTCATTTTAGTTTGCTAAACTAGTGGAAAAAGTACTTTTAAGAAAAAAATCTACCAAAAATGTAAATAAGATCATAGCAAGGAGAAAGAGATACTCATTTTGTGATTTTTTTTTTTTTTTAAGTAAACTCTACCCATAACATAGGGCTTGAACTTAAGACCCTAAGATCAAGAGTTGCATGCTCTACCCACTGAGCCTGCCAGGCATTCCTGATTCTCTGAATGGCACAAGAAGTTTAAATGCATTATGAAATCAGGTCCTACAACTTAAAATTTTTTCCCTCTAAACCCAAATTTAGGATGGTGTTTGGCAGTGGTTGGGGAAGGGAGTGAAAACAAGAAGGGAGCCTCCACAGTGTGGCTAGCTGTTTCTTAAGCTGGGTGGTGGGTACACAGGTGTTCATTGTATTATTCTCTTATACCACTTGGCATAAGTAAAAAATGAAGTATAATATTCACAGATTTATTGTACTTCACATACTGGTAAATACTGGACCATTTACTTCTAGTACACTTCACCAAGGTGAAAAGAGAAATTTCTTTCACTGGCATATGTTGTGAAAGCATAAAGAAAACAGAAATCAGCCTCCCCACCCTCTCCAATGGTTCTTTGAAAGTGCTGTTTTAGCAGAACATGATTGGTCAACAGCAGCAACATGCCACAATTCAAAGTGTAACTCTTAATGAGTAAATTACCTCAATTTCCTGTAACTGCTCCTGATTGGTTGTGTACATCTGCTGAAGAGAATCCTCCAACTCTGTGTTCCGATCCAGTAATGTCTTCCCAAGTTCAGCAGCAAGTTGGAGATCTAGCACAACAAGTGAATCTTAGGATAATGCAAATGATCTCACTTCAACATTTTATATAACCCAGTACTTAAAATAAGAATGGATCAAGACCTAACCCAACACATAAAAGTTTAAGTCAGATCCCAATGGAAGGTGGAATGGCACAGAAAGAAACTTGAGTTCTACTTAAAATTCAGTTGAACTGGGTCCCTCTACCAGGTAATGTGTCCTCTTGTGTACCCTTACTTGTAAGACTGAAGAAAGTGATCTACTTTATGGAGATGTATTCATTAGTTCAGAAATGATCATTCATCGTGGTGATGTCTAACATCATAATTATTTGCTCATGGACTGGACTTATTCATATCCTCATTGTCTATTTTCTTTCTGGAGATCTTTGAGCCAAAGTATAGGTAGATCTTTCAATAGTCTCTAAAGTTCCCACGAAATCTGGCTGCTGCGAATTCAACTATCAAAGTAAAGTTTGTGTTATAGATCCTGGCCTCCTAAGGAGACTAAAAATTAAGTCAAAAAAAGGAAAAATACACCAGTAATAACAACACTGTCTACTTCTCTTCATGTCCCTCTCCAAGATGAGCAAACCAGATAAGCAGCGCGGTGACAGTTTTTAAGGTAATTACATGTCAGTAGCTTATACTTTGAGTTAGCACAAAACTGTATTTCTACTTTGAACCTCATTTTTCAACTCTCTTCTTAGGCATATATATATATAAGACATATATATAAGACAGGATTTGTTTGTATTATACCCAATACCCCAAATAAAAATTTAATGATACAAAAAAGGACACTAGTTCTAATACAGTAACAGAAATACCTGCATAATAAGTTTCATGGGAGGCCCTTTGACATAGTGAGAAATGCACTGAATTGAGTAGGAAGGCCTGAGGTCCAGTTCTGACTACCATTTAGCAGGTTAACACTTTCAATATGGTGACTTTAAAGGTCCCTACATTTGGTATTCTTGTCTAGAGAGAAGACGGTCCTGTCAATGTAAGACTGCGAAAATCAAATGAAATAATATATAAGGGAGGACTTCAGAAACTATGCTGCATACAAAGCCCAAGTATTATTAGTATGCATTGATTCACAAATTAATGTTTTTATTGCTAGGCACTACGCTATTAAGCTTTAGTTATAGAATGGTGAATAAAATGAAGTTCCTGTCATCCTGACACTTCCAGAGACTAATGGGAGAAGCCAGACAGCAAATAAGTAAATAAACCTCCCAACATGATGAACACTTTTCATTCATAAATGCATGCATACATTAATACCAGACACTGTTCTAGGCACTAGGTATATAAGAGTGAACTTAGCTAAAAAATTCCCTGCCCTCATGAAGTTTCTATTCTATTGGGAGAAACAGCATGATAGAATATAAAAAAATAGCAGTAAGCGCTAAAGAGGAAAAATAAAGTTAGGGGGATATGAAGAATGTGGATGTGGAAAGCTGACCTTTAAGAACATGTGACAAGGGTGGGGCGCCTGGGTGGCTCAGTTGGTTAAACCGCTGCCTTCAGCTCAGGTCATGATCCCAGGGTCCTGGGATCAAGCCCCGCATCGGGCTCCCTGCTCATGCAGGAAGCCTGCTTCTCCCTCTGCCTGCCGCTCCCTCTGCTTGTGCTCTCTCCCTCCCTCTCTCTCTCTCTCTCTCTAGCGCTATCTCTGTGTGTCAAATAAATAAATAAAATCTTTAAAAAAAAAAACATGTGACAAGGGTGACATTAGAATCAAGATGTGAAGGAACTGAATAAATGATCCCGTAGATCAATCTAGAAGATGAGCATTCCAGGCAGAGACAAAACAAGTACAAAAGCTCTAGGAAGAAGTGTGACTGGAGCTAATAAGGAGGTCAATGAGGCCAAAGCAAGTGTGTATGGGGGGCAGAGACAGTGACAAGTCAGAGGGGCTCTAAGCTCTAAGGCCAGCTTGTGTAGGGCCTACGAAGATCAAGATTTTGGCTTGTACTCTGAGTGAAATGGAACCCAGTGAAAGCTTCTGACAGGATGAGTAGCTGCTATGTAAACAGCCTGCAAAAGACAAAGATGGAAGCAGGGTGACAGGAGGATGCTGCAATCATCTGGGTGAAAGATGATGGTGGCTCAGACTACACTGGCAGAAATGGAGAGAAGAGGTAGGAATGTGGATACAGTTTAAAGCAGAGCTAAAAAGAATTATCAACCAATTAAATGTGATGTGTGAGAAAGAAAAAAATAGATTTGGTGACAATGAATAAAGGATCTGTTTTAGAAAGAGACGTCACAAGGAAAGTCTGAGGGGACATTTTAGCTGAGGCTTGAGGAATGAGGATCTCGCCATATAAAAAAGCCACACAGAGGCACTCCAACAGGAAAGAACTTGGTACAGTCTACGACCTGACAAAAAGCCAGTGTGACAGAAGCATGAAGGGGAGAGTGGGAAGAGATGAAGCTGGAGGGTAGGCACCAATCAGAACATGCAAGATTTTAGCCCATGGTAAAGAATATTTAAATTTGGGGCGCCTGGGTGGCTCAGTCGGTTAAGCGTCTGCCTTTGGCTCAGGTCATGATCCCAGGGTCCTGGGATCGAGCCCCGCATCGGGCTCCCCGCTCCGCGGGAGGCCTGCTTCTCCCTCTACCACTCCCCCTGCTTGTGTTCCTGCTCTCGCTGTATCTCTGTCAAATAAATAAATAAAATCTTAAAAAAAAAAAGAATATTTAAATTTTATTCTAAGTATGATGGAAAGTCATTTTGCTTAATGTCATATAAAGTATTTATTACGGAAAAATATTATGAAAACAGGGAACCTCACTACATATGCTCTTTAAACAATTTTTAGAGGTTGACAAATAAGGTTTTGTATTTACTCATTACCACCGATATTAAAACTTAACCTAGAGAAAGTAGTAAAAGAAAAGCCACAACTTTTGTTACCCAGTCCTGTCCATTAGAGTGCATAATTAGTATTCTACTTGGTTAGTTTTCCCTCATTAGGAAAAAACAAAGCATCAAAACCTACCACACACCACTCCAGCTCATTTTAAAACATATTACACCCATTTATAATAAATCTATATATGTTGGTAGACAGGTGTTAAGATACATTCTCTCGTGATTTAAATATTAGCAACGTCAATTAATGTACTTAAGACTTCAGATAACAAGTCTATGAAATAACATCTTCTATTCACAAGGCATAGAACCTTTACAAACAGCTCAAAGCATTTAAGAGATATTAATCTATCTTTTCAAGGTATTTAGCCTGGATTTTCAAATGAGACAATTTGAAGCACAAAGATGCTAACTGACCTGACCAAATCTACATGGTGAGTCACAGCAAAACAGAAACTACTGTCAACAGCTTCTAACTTTGCAGTCATCATACCGAGAGTACGCCATCTTTACACGGGGAGGTCCGCATATCTCTGTTTCAGGTAGGGAGTACATTTCCCTTTGAGGTACTTAATCTTTTCACTTGTTTTTATAGATGGCAATGAGAAATCAGAGTTGAGCTACTTGGCTTTTATTGCCTGCTCTGCCGGTGAAAGCACACACAATCCCAGGCAAGTTAATATCCTGTTTTCATTAAATGCAAAAGGAACTATGCAGATGCTCCAGAAATTATTATTTTGTACTCATAGGACATGTAATGTGTATACATATCCCCACACAGAAGCCACCAAGCTTATTTAAGACAAAGCATATAAACATTACCTAAACATTACTTAAGTCTCTCCTGGCCAGTTGTACGGTGGTAATTCCTCACTGGGAAGGACCAGAGACTCACCAAAGGTGTTCTTAACTAGTGATCAAAACCTGAGCCAAACCCTCTTCCAGACTTAAGACTAACTTGAGACCATCCTCAACTATTTTGATTCAGTTATGAAACTATCTACTACTTAATACACAGCCAAAAGAGATGCCAAGCACAGCACTGTTCCAGTAAATAGCAAGCAGAAAAGAATTCGAGACTTGTCCTTATCTCACTCCTTATTTCCAGTTAAACAAAGCCCCAACCTGGTTCAGTAACCTGAAGTCTCAATCTCCTAAATATTTCATAGAAGTTTAGGATAGAATTCTGGCAAAACAAGTCTCAACTACAAGTGTCTGTGAAGTCACACTGAATAGGATATTACTTCATATGTTAAAGACAAGGGTCTTTTTTTGGTCTTAAAAAAAAAATTCATTTCCTGTTGTGTAGCATCTGGCTTCCATAACCAAAAGGAGCCAAAAGCTGGCAGTAAGCCCAAGAAGGGTTTCTAAATAATTAGTGGGGCGACTGGGAGAATGCTCAATGCCCTTTATATTTTTAATTAAGGCACAAAAGGAAAGGAAACAATATAGTTTTGAAGTCTTATGCACCTGGTCATCTCTATTTTACAATAAGGATTTTCGCTAAGAGGTTGTCTTTTCTAAATCCTAACGAACTGAGCTAGGCAGTCACGCATTTACTGCAGGCTTGAGAATTACAACCTACCAATACCTTCGTATGTTTAATATTTTCACTAATTAATCTTTGCAAGTGATAATCATCAACTTTAACAGTGTAAACTACAAGCTTTAAACAGGTACTCTACTCAGCCCTATGCCAAAGCAAAAGATTAGTCTGGCAGCTGAGTGATTTTTTAAAAAGAATCTTTCTTCCGAAATTCTGAAACCTTTAAATTCCACTGCTATATTTTTATTTTACTGCAGTTTTCACAAACTATGAGGACAACATATTCCCATGTTAGCTGTAGTCTGCAGTAGTAATTCAACAACATTAGGACTGAAAGCTTTTCCTATTACAAAATCAAATGCGTCATTTGGTGATGCTTCTGTGTAACTCCTGTTGCCAACGTTACTATAATTGGGAAAGCAAAAAACCTGAATATAAACATCAAGAAAAATGATGGTGCCAGTTTTAATGACCCTTCAACAATGATTCAGCAAATTAGTTGTACACATGGAAAATGTACTCATCGTGAAAAGAAGTAGAAATATGAGGGTTCCTTTAAGATTTCATTTGCCAATCCATATAGTAGGAACTTGAAACCTTATTCTAAGCTTGCACAGCTCACCAAATGACAATTATAATAGCAGCTGGACTAAAAGAAAACTCAGTTTCTGAAGTCTTTCCACCTTGTTCTCAGGGGCACATTTCAAAGCAAGCACCATCATTACCTGCACAGAAGGCTCCTGCTGTCCCAGAAAGGATCTTACCCATAGAGATCATTGTCAGTATTCTTATTGTGCCAACTCAGCTCTCTGACAAAAGACAGTCTCTTTATCAAAGTGTTCTGTAAAAGCAAAGGGTTTTCTCCTTCAGCCTGCACAAGCTTTACACGTTTCTAACAAGGTATAAATGGTGGTCCACAGCCTTCCGAGGTTAGAATTTTTCAGCAATTTTAATTTAAAAAAGAATTCCCCAGCAAACTTTGATATGGTCGATTTACTTAAATAATGCTCCTATTGCTAAAGGAAACAAGTTTGTAGTTTAATGACTTTGAGAACAGGATCTTAAAAAGTCTTTAGCAGCTCTCTCCAAACAAGGCTTGTTCAGTAAAGTTTATAGTGAGGATGTTAAAAAACAAAAAAACAACAGGGGCGCCTGGGCAGCTCAGTCGTTAAGCGTCTGCCTTCGGCTCAGGTCACGATCCCAGTGTCCTGGGATTGAGCCCCACATCGGACTCTCTGCTCAGGGGGAAGCATGCTTCTCCCTCTCCCACTCCCCCTGCTTGTGTCCCTTCTCTCGCTGTCAAAATAAATAAATAAAATCTTAAAACAAAACAAAAAACAACAGATGTCTGCACTTGATAAAATCCCATTAGATGTGCTTATCAATCTGTTTAACAGGACTTGCTCCCAAACTGTATTCAGCATTTAATATCCACCAAGGGTCTACCACGTGCCAGGCACTGTAGTTGGGCACATACCAGGAGGCAACATCTCCAGACTTCACTAATAGATTCCTAGACTGTCAACTCCAGGAACAGGATCCTATCCTATCTATCTTGTGGATAGGCACTGTGACCCCAGTGCCTAGATGAATGCCTGGCACAGACTCGATAATACATTTTTCAGAAATTAACACACTTAAAAATTTGTTAGAACTTTAGGTGTTCTTTAACATATAATTTTTAAAAATTGGGACAAAGATATCCTTTCATTCACAGTGCAGACTTCATTCTTCTACAGGCCATATTCATGAGTTATGATTGTTGGAATTTCACATCTATTCCTACTCCACGCACTTGGTTATGACATACAGGGTTATGTCAAAGTCCATTGTGATAACAGATGTAAAAGTTTTTTGAAAAGCAGAGAACAAATTCCAAATGCAAATTGACATTAAGGAGGTTCGGACCTGTGCTCATTAAGGTTTCATTAAACTTGAACATCTGATGGCTTTGTTTTGATCAGAGGTTAAAGAGTTCCACATGTAATGCCAACATGTTGCATTTGTTTCCCATAGACTGACATCTTACAACTGGTTGTTCCTAACAACTTCCCACAGGGTGGAAGGGCAGTGTGGACTAAAGCACCTGATGGAAGAGAGCCATGAAAAGAGTAATCCTGTGTGAGCAACTCAGTTCAACAAATATGAAAACTAAGCCTCTGTGTTAAATTTGCTAGATTTAAAAAAAAGGGGGGGCCTGCACAGATCAATGCTTGCTAAAGATATTTAGCTTTGATTATACAAACTGCTTCATTTATTGTAGGGAAATGCTGCAATTGTGCAGTGGTTTCCTCATTAATCTTGGAGAAAGTATCAAACTAGGCCATCAATCCTTATGGGGAATTTTGAAAACAGGTTAAATATAAGACAAATTTGCCTGTGGACATTGAGAACACATGATGGCACATAATGCACTGCAGCCACTGAACAGCTTGGGCTATTTAAGTGAAATGGTGAACCACTTTGGTTCAAGTGACTGTCCACCACATATCAAAAATCACCTTTTCCCAAGAGTTGCTTGTACTTAGAAAAGACAGACAAGTTATTCAAGCCTACATCCCCCCCACCCCAAGTTCAGTGATTGCCATGAACCAACATCATGGTCATTTAATATTCAACTAAGTGAGATATTAATTTTCAGTGAAAGTTTAAAGCTGAAAAAGTTGCTTTTTACAGAATTGCAGAGACCGAAGATGCCTGAAAAAAATTCCTAAGGAGTGTTCAGTATAGTGGCTAAGAAAGTTGGTTCTGAAGTTTCGAGTGGAAATCCTAGCTCTCCATAACAGTATCTATCTACTACGTCCATAGCTTGACGGGAGGACTAAATGAGCACCTGTGTTAAGAACCCACAAAAAACTTCCCCAGTTGCAAATTCCTGCTATTAATACGCAAAACAAGGTGGGGGCACTGGCTCCAAATTTGAAGGCTGCTCTTAGATTTCTCTCTGGAGACACCTTCGGCAAGAAATCCAAGGCAGGCCAGGATCTGAATCCCTGTTTTTAACTAAAAAGCTAGAGCGCAAACTGCCAAGAAGTGGCGGACGCAAAAGTGCCTCAAGTCACTTTCACTTGGCATATGGTGAACTATGCATTGGCAAAAAAAAAAAATTCAACTTTCTAACACCCAACTGAAGCTGTAAACCGATGATAAAGGAGAGAAAGGGTCTGGGCAGTGACTACGACTCCTCGTTCTGAGTGTGTGGGTTCAAAAACGCTGGCCTCCACCCTTGACTCGAACGAAGTCGTTTGGCCGTTTTAGCCTCGTTTTCCTCATCTGGGAAAGGGGGACAAGAGAAGTTCCTCTTCAAGGAATGGATGGAGCGGGTGAGGTGGGCGGGCCCGGCACGGCTCCTGCCACACAGCACTGCTACCCCTACCACCTGCAGCAGCTCCCACTCGGTTCGGGCTTGGTAGGGGGTCCTCCGGAGGCGCTGAGGCCGCGGGGTGCAAGCCAGGAAGAGGCCGTCCTGCGCCTCCGAGGAATGCGGTGAGGATTCAACCAGCTAACCCGGGAAGCGCTCCCAACGGTACCCGGCCCACACGCAGGGATGGTGAGGGTCACTGCGCAGAAGCGGCCTCCCGGCGGGCAGGGCGGACGGCCGATGCCCACGCCAGGTGAGCGTCTGACCTTCCCGCACCTGGCGTCCGCCGGCCGCCGGCAAGAGCAACTTTTTAACGGTTTCGCGCCCGAGAGCCTCCCCGGCCAGGCCGCCCGCCCGAGGCGGGGGGGGGGCGACCGCGCCCTCACCTTGCTGGAGGTCCTGGTGGTCGTACCACGGCTCGTCCTCCTTCATCTCAAACTCCTCCACTAGGTTTTCCGCCAGCATCTCGGCCGGCTCCTCCGGGGGCAGCGGCCCCCGCCGCCGCCGTCCCGCCTCAGCCGCTGCCCCGGGCGCTCCACGGGCTCCTCCGCCCTCAGCCAGAGCCGCCCTCCGGCGGGACGCGACGCCACCTAGGCTCCGCCGCGCCCCCTGACCACCACTGCTCGGCGCCGCCGCCAAGAGGCGGCTCACACCGCACGCCGCGGACCGGCTTCTCGAGCCGCCCAACGGCCGGAGCTCCGGCACGAGCGGCCGGGCGGCTGCCCTGAGCCGGCTTCTCACGCTGCAGCCGGGCCCAACGTGGCACTTTGGCAGAACCCTCCCCGGCCGGGGCCACGATTCAAACCCCCGGCGGCGCCTCGGCCAATCGCGAGCGGGCCGGCGGCCGAGCGGCAGCGACGTCGTCCAATCCTGTCTCACTGCAGGCCCGCGGGTCGCCCGGTCTCGCGGGCAAGCAGCCAATGGCGACTCCGGAAGAAACAAAGAAGGCGGGGGAAAGGCGAAGGGGTGCGGCCGAGGGCCCCGCCCTCTCCTCTGCATTGGGGCGGTTCTGGGCCAGCGTTCCGAGTGCTGGGTGTGGAAGTGGCGGCCTCAGCGGCGCCTGTGGTGGGTGTCCGGCCGGCTAGTTAGCGGGTGGACAGGCTACGCGGGCTCGAGGGCCGGGAGTGCGGCCCCCGAGCAGTGGGCGGTTGTCGTGGGGCGCCTTCGTGCAAGCGGAGGCGCGAAGGGTGCCGGGAGTCCGGGGTCCGCTGCCCGGCTGGCCCCTTCTGGTCTTTTGACTCCCAGATTTGCGCTCCTCGATCTGGGGAAATTAAGGGTCGGTCGGGAGTTTAGGGTTAGCTGTTTTCTCCTTGATTACCTGAGTGCTCACCTCCAACCCACTGAGCGTTGTAGTCACTTCCCCTGAAAAGGAGGGCTCATTTGAGTATCTGGGGGCGGAAAAGGGTGCCGTTGAAGGTATCTCCTTACAAAAAAATTAAAAGCACTTTTGCACACTATTTTTAAAAGGTTCATAGATCACCAGTTAAGTACCCGGGCTCACGACATTGCACCTGGAGGGAATTGAAATCAGCCCTAGCACTTGATGGCCAGCAGGGCAGTGAACTTCGTTCTCCACAGAGTTAAAGTTGATACTGTTTGTGGGGTGTGGCTTTCCTATCATCGTGCAGACAAAACACAGAAATTCTTAAATGGGGTGACCGGAAGGTCACTGTTCTCGACCTCGGTGTAAAGGTAAAGATCGGCTGACAGAAGACAGCAGCGCTCTCTCCTATAGTAGAATGCCAAATAATAAATGTAGAAGGAATAATGGTGTTGGAAAGTAATAAAGGAGGAATGGTAAACGCAAATCCTTCTGAATTCAGGTATACTAAAAGGCAAAATGTTACTGATTACTTTTTATTGCTAGGTTAAAGAAAGGTAGGTTACCTTATAGCCTTTACTGCCCTAATTGTCAAAATTCAGGTAGAGGTATAGTCCAGAACCAAAAGAAAAGAAAGCCAACTATCTTAATCTAAAAGTAAGTCACTACACATTGAGCTCTTTGGAAAGAGAGATGATTGGATTTAGGATTTGCTGACGGTGATTTGTGGAAGCTGAAGGGCTAGAATCAGGCATTTGACCTTCAAGAGATTCGTCTCCCATAGTCAATGATCCGCAAGATTGAAAGTGCTAGCTTTTTTCTTCATGGCAAATAACTCATCGGACTCCAAATCAAATTGGTCAGTGTATTGAAACGTTCTTTCACATTCTCCTTAAAAAACAAAAAAAGAAGAAAGATATGGAGAGTTAACATTATTGATAGTTTAAAATGGCAAAAAGACTTTATGTCTTTGGTATTTGTGGGTTCTTTTTAAGGACACCTTTTGGGGAACCTTTTTTCCATGGGAAAGTGTGAACAAAAATTGCATTGAAAAAGAAATGTTAGCTTTTGCTGCTCAAAGCCATGCTTTGGAGGGGTCTCCATCATTCTTTTATAGTCTGCTTAGTCAAAACTTAGAAGTAATCATGAACAGCCTCTTCCGTGACATTAATATTAGTTGGTGTAGTAGTAGGTTAGTGAATAACAAGCCAAGTTGATTCTAAAAGGAAGGGTTTGGGTTTTCATTTAATAATTCATGAGTACATTGTACACCTGCCCAGCCTAATCATTATACCATTTTGCTATTTAAACTCTTCCGTATAAAACCTTTTGTGGTAAAGAAGAACCAGTTTCAGAAGTTTTTTGTCCCTGCTCGTAAAGATACAATATTCTCGCTTGTGTTTTGTTGTTGTAGTAAAATCAGGTAAGGAGAGTTTTTAGATAGTAGTGGTGGCTTTAAAAAAAATTGTAAGTGGTGATTTTCAGTTTGATACTGAGATAAGTACTATGATAAAAATAATATAAAGCAAAATACTGGTAATTCCTTTTGCAAATGGAAATAAGGGGGATTTGGAACTAAGGGTGATTTTACTTCCTCCTCAGTATATATAAACAAAGAGAAGTTCAGGCTACAAGAGTTTTTCATAATGTTAATAAAACCTTATATTCACATGTTTCAGACAGGGTCGGTGCTTAACTCAAATTCTTTTTTAATTGAACTCGGGGCACCTGGGTGGCTCAGTCAGTTAAGCTGCTGCCTTGGGCTCAGGTTGTGATCTCAGGGTCCTGGGATCGAGCCTCACACCGGACTCCCAGCTCATCAGGGAGTCTGCTTCTCCCCCTTCCCCCACCCCCGTCATGCACTCTCTCTCTCACATAAATAAAATCTTCAAAAAAATTTAACTCGGCAAGTTTATGACCCTTTGCAAAATTCTGAGTTTATAAATACCCACCTCCTGACTTAATGATAGATCAGCTCAGAAGGTGTGGCATGCTTCTTGTTTCAGCATGCCTGAAATAAAACTAAGAAAAAGAAGAGTGCCTACATTTTGGTGGACTAAATTTGTATCTTGGCTTTTGGTTCAACTGACTCCCTTGTTTTGGCCTTCTTGGCAACCCAGTCTTCAATCTTCATTCTCACTTAGGCCAAAAGTAACTCTCTAGAATGGGGTCTTCACCAGTAGTTCCAGCTTTTTCAAATCTGAGTATTACCTTTAAAGCCAAAAATATTGGCTGACCGCCACATAATGGTGCTTGTACTTTTCAAGTGTTTGTGCACTGCATAATGACAAAAAAATTCAGATGGTATCTTATTACAGCAGAATCTACAAACATTTTAAGAATAGTAGTACACATATTAGCAAAATATTCTTCAGTCTACAGACAATGCTTGGTCTGCATATGGGTTTCATAATCTTTTTTAATTGTAGGGCCCTACTTCCCATAGATTTGAATCATTTTTGGCTCTACCCAATGCCAAGTGAAGCTCAGGGACTTAGATAATTTGGTCATTTGTTCACTCCTCGCTTGTAGCTTGCCCTCCCCTAAGAAATTGGGCGGTATAGACTGCAGTGCCTGCTTAATTCCCAAGGATTATTTAAGCAAGTAACTTCTCTTGAGTTATCTGAATATTTGTCTGTTTTGTGACTTAGTAAGATTGTGCAGACCTGGCCAAATATTCCAGGAAGGTAGGGATGAAACAGAAAAATCATGGTATTATCTTAACTATAGTCAGGGATAAAAGGAAGATGAATCTGTACCCACCTCTTGCTTGGCTAAACTTTTCCTATTTTCTAGTTGCATAAATCAAGTCATTGAAAGACTGAGACAATAGTCCAGATTTAAGAGGGACATATATATCAGAGCAAAGACCAGAATGTGTTATTTCTTTTTTTTTAAAGATTTTATTTATTTTGAGAGAGAGAGAACAAGTGCATGCGAGTGGGGGGAGGGGCAGAGAGCAAGAATCTCAAGCCCAACTCAGGACTTGATCTCACAACTGTGAGATCATGACCTGACTTGAAATCAAGAGTTGGGCGCTCAACCGACTGAGCCACCCAGGCGCCCCCAGAATGTGTTATTTCTAATATCCATCTTAGATATGTCCTTTGGGCCAAAGTTACAGTCTGTCCAGAGAAGACCAAGAATAAATATTCCAAAGCAAGTCTGTAATTACTGAATGGTCAACTTTATATTAAGATGAAAGGTTCTATTCCTTCTGTGTGGCTTTAGCTAAAGGATGTCACCTCATTGTTCCTTTTCTGTTGCACCCTCCCAAGTAGGGAGGATAATAATGCCATAGACACATCTCCTTGGCCTCTAGTTAAGCATATCCAGGGGGTGGGGGGATGGGTTAGCCTGGTGATGGGTATTAAAGAGGGCACGTTCTGCGTGGAGCAGTGGGTGTTATGCACAAACAATGAATCATGGAACACTACATCAAAAACTAATGATATAATGTATGGTGATTAACATAACAATAAAAAAATTTAAAGAAAAAAAGCATATCCAAACTCATGGATAAATCTCGTTTTATAACTTGGAAGAGTTATTAAAAATATATTCAAGTAGGGGCTCCTGGCTGGCTCAGTTGGAGGAGCATGTGACTCTTGATCTTGGGGTCACAGGTTTAAGCCCCATGTTGGGTGTAGAGATTACCAAAAAAATTTTTTTTTAAAGATTTTATTTATTTGACAGAGACACAGTGAGAGAGGGAACACAAGCAGGGGGAGTGGGAGAGGGAGAAGCAGGCTTCCCACTGAGCAGGGAGCCCAATGTGGGACTCGATCCCAGGACCTTGGGATCATGACCTGAGCCGAAGGCAGACGCTTAACGACTGAGCCACCCAGGTGCCCCACTAAAATTTTTTTTAAATATATATTTTTATTCATATATATATGAATTCATATATATATATGAAAGTAAGTTACACTCTATGAAAATTAGGGTCCCTGGCAACTTCTCAAAAAATGTTGAGTGAATGGATAAGAAAGTAAAGTGTTGACTCTGGTGATAGCTAGTGGTTTTTGACTTTTACTTAACTAAAATTAAATTAGTGTCCAGTGGAATTTTGCCACCCATCAGCTATTATATGCAAACAGTGAATTTAACCATTTTCCTTTTTTTTTTTTTAAACAAAAGGAGGAAGAATTCCTTTGCATGGAAAATGATACAAGTATCAAGCCCATTGCTTGGGCATATTCTATGATAACAGGGACTGAAATGCTAAATTCTGTCTTCAGTTTCTACTATGTGAAGCTTTTTTTACATCGGTACAAGATTTCAGAAGTGGCCTTTTACCAAGCCCAGG